GTAGCGCGACGCTGTAGCGCGACGCTGTAGCGCGACGCTGTAGCGCGACGCAGTAGCGCGACGCTGTAGCGCTACAAGTGTGAACGCTGCCTTAGGGTTTTTGGTTGTTCGAAAACAGGTTGTGTTACACACAGTCTGACTAGCTGCGGATGATGGAGCGTGTCTTTGCGGCTGCGTTTGGCACGTCGCCAATTCCTTTTCCCGCCATTTGTCTAAGGCGATAAGTGACAACAAATGGTGAAAACGGGGCCAACGCGAAGGAGGAGAAGAAGATACAGTCCTGTTGCTTGCCTAAAAAAACAAAGAAAAACCGCCGGAATGATGGCCTGTCCGCGCCAAACCCCGCTGCGGTGCACGCCCCATCATCCCAAGGGAACAAGACCATATCTGGGCGAAGCCACGGTCTTTCCGAGTGAAATCTGAAGTTTGTTTTCGTTTTCCTATCTATACTGCCTAGTAGTCTTCGGAGTGTCGTATCAGTAGTGCACCCAGAACGATCTGCTTTTTTTCAGGAGTTCAATTCTTTCAATGCCTATGGTGCCACAATATCTGCATTATCTGGTGCCACTGATTTCTCGAAAGAGCAGAAGCAATTGGCTCCCAATGGAACCTGCACGTCAGACGTCATCGTATCAACTCCAGGACGCCTAATGGATCACTTGACCGATCCATCCAGTGGAATCACCCTCACATCATTAAGGTGATCATTTTACTTGAAACGGATGAAATTGGGTTGCTTTTATTCAATTCCATCAACGAATGCCTAGGTTTCTTGTCATCGATGAAGCGGATCGAATAGGACCGATGGCAAGGCAAGAGTGGCTAGAGTCGGTGGAGCGCAGAAGCGGTGGTGGGTATCGCATTCTATAAGAGGTTTCGTTCTCGAGCTTTACGATATTCTTAGGGCTCACGCGTTGCGCCAACTTAACAGACATTACTTTGTCACGATGGGCACCGAGAAAAATTCTTCTGTCGGCTACTTTGTCAAGAGATGTCGAAGATTTGCACATGTGGAATCTTTTCCAACCACGTTTATTCCGTGCGAATGTTTCTGAGAGTAAAGAGGTTGGTACGAAATTGGAACATTTCAAAGTTCCATAAACCCCCTGATCGTTTTAGATAAATCTCGCGCTACAAACTTCCGACCATGTCACGGGAGAACTATCACTTCCATCGACCATCAGGCATACGGTATTAGCTGTTGAGAAGCAATTCCACCCACTTGTTCTCTATCTGAAAATTGTGGAACATGACTGGCAGAAAGTGCTCGTATTCACGAATGAAAAGTAAGTTCTGAATTAAAATTCACTAGTTTTGGCACTCTGGTAACTACCTATCACTGCTTTTTTCCATAAAATTGAGACTTTTTGTAATGTCTCTGCATTATTCCTTACCATATTACTAGGTATAGTTCAAAGGCAAGTGGCACAATAATATGGTACTCGATTTAAAATGGTAGCAGGGTGCTATATAGTGGGGAAAATGGCGAAAAAGCGAAGTGAAGCGGTCAAAAACCTACAAAAAACCTTTGCTGCACGACTCTGGAAGCGATTCCGGAGGAGTTTCCCATGTCATTGTGCCAGTCATCGCTACGGTAGATACGGCTGCATGTATGTACTCATATATCCATGCAGCACGCAACCGCTTCACATCAATCCCTTCGCTTCATATTGTACTTCGCAAATGAAGCGATACGAGCATCAGCATCGGTCGGACATTTGTGGGCGGGCGGGCGCGGTGGGCGTCCGGGTCGGTATGTTGCAGCTTGATAGGGCGTTATAAGAGTACTTCCCTGGAAAAGGTTCTACACAGCACCTGCTCAGGGACGACGAATTCTGTCCTGCTAGGCGTATTGATTCTACACCTATTGGGGATTTATTGTGCCACTTGCCTTTAACTCAAATTCGGGCGTCACTGCTATAAACTACTTTGACGTTTTGCTTTGTGGCGTTCCTGCTCTACGACATGACTTACTAGCTGAACACTTGTGAATATGGCCGACTGTGGTGGTAACGATATGAATTTAGTAATTCAAAAAAGAAATGATTACGATTGAAGATAAAGTCTTCGCCGCTGATCAATTCATTTTTTGGATGCGGCAAATCCTACTTCATTTCATAGTCATAGTGTCTTATTGGGTGCGATATGGCCTATACAATGAGTTGCGGAGCCAACATGTAGAAAACAGTCTTCTCCTCCTCTTAGACAAACCTGCTACCAATCTACCATCCCGAGGAAACTAATTAGTTCTTGGAAGTAT